CAAATCTAATTGACTGAAGGTCATGACATGGGTCCAGGTTATCTGAGGAAACTGTCACCTCAGGGGGATGGATCTGTCCCACCAATGCCAACAAAAGGGACATGCTGTGGACCTCTTTGGTCAAGCAATTCTGGTTGGCAGGGTCCAGGAGAAGAGCCTTATGTGGCACAACTGCTACCCTCTGAAACATAGTGAAAAGTTCAAGGAAGAACCACCTTGAGGCCCTAATGGGGGTTTGCTATTCTTCCCTGTGGAATTTTGCCCCTTTCCTCTCCATCTTTGACAATTTTGAATCAAATTTAATGTTACTATTTATTGTTTTGATATTTTAATACATTATATTGGTGTCTTAATGATTGTAAGCTGTCTAGTGTCACTTTTAGGTGAGACGGCATGTCAATTAAATGAATGAATGAATGTTGTTCTACACTACTATCAGAAAATGGTGCCATGCTTCAACCTCTTCTCTTAATGCTGCACACAATATTAAAACTGTTGACACAATATCTACGTATTGTTATGATTGTATGTATTTTCAAAGACTGTTAACAAATAATAGCACGAACATCTTAGCTAATACATAGATGTTTAGGGGCCATGACCAGAATATCCCATCAGAGTAAAAATTAATACTGGTAGAAAAATTCCAAGCTAACTTTGCCTTCATCTGAGCAAACAAAACATTTTCGTTTCTTTCTTTCCAAAAATATGATCAAAGCAAAATCATGGACTCCAAATATACTGACAGGAAATTGCCCATTGGAAAACTATAAATTTAAACAATTTTAGTATGAGGCATTGAAGTCACTTTGGGCTACTGGAGTTTACAATCCACTTTCCAATCCCTCCTGAAGTTTTGAAAGCCTGAATCCAAAGTTAAATGTATAACAAATAATCGTCTGAGGTTAGTTAGCAATAACTAAGTATTGTATAAAACATCAATCTATGATATAATTCTGAAAATAGTATCATGCTAGTTCTGTAGGAGTATAAATTGAAATATATTCTTCCTATTGCAACATAGATTTTAAAAGAAAAAACATATAAAGCCAAACAGCAATACAATCAATCATTCTTTGCACCATATATAATATAGGTTATTAAGACACTGTCAAAACTCTATGTCTTTTTATATCTTTATCATTATATTTATAAATCAGGAAAGGCTGTGTTATTTCCATATCCAACTATATTTCTGTAACACCGAGTTGTTATACTCTCATTTATTTCTGATTCCAATGCATTGGTACTGCTAGCAGAGAAAATAGTGTACATTATGGATGAGATTTTCAAAAATAAAAGAAAAACGAGCAGTGCTTTTTTGTCACAGGTGTGAACATACATGACAGGGACGGGCTGTTCTCATATCAGATGCATTTTACCAGAAAGTGGGGAAAAGACAGGAGAGCACTAAAACCAAGTGATTCAGAAGTCATTTGCAAAACATCAGAGGATTAAATCCTGGACATCCATCACTGCATAACGAAGAATTCTAAGTCTTTTATTTTATTCTGGCAAACTGATTTTTTTTATGCAGATAGTATCTAAGTGGTACTATAAAAAAAAGAATGGGCTAGATTCCAAAGTTTAAGCTACCTCTTTATAACACTTAAAATGAATATTTGCCCTTTCCCCCTAAATAAAAAAGGCAAGCAGGCAGGTAGGCAGAGATTTATCTGCAAGTGAGAAGTAGGTTTGTCTTTTCAAAATCTGGTTCTTGAAAGCAATACTGCAGCACCTAGTATTTTGGCTTTTCACATTAATGTTAACAACTGTGTGAACTATAATCCTTAGGAATTATGGACTCTCCTTTCAAAGAAGTATCACGTGATTATGCCAAATATTAAGGGCACAGATTATCTCTACTCAATGTAGGATTTGTATGTTTGATTCTGTTTATATACTAGTAAAATATTTTGAGCAAGCCTTAGAGTTTTAGCTCTTATCATTGAAAGACCATTCTACTAAGAAATTAATAAAAGTACAAAAACAATTTTTCACACTGTATTGGAGCTAGCCAGGTAGAAGTCTTGTTTAAGCTTGTTCTATAATGAGCATGAGGTCGGAGTCATCAGCCAAAATGAACCCTTTTAACTCTGTGATTCTACGATTTCTAATCCTATATTTCAACTTCTTCTTGTATTTTTTTCTAAACAACAAATCTGAATAGTAAAGAAAGATTGGAAAACTGAAGCATAACTTTTGATTGATAGTGCGAGAGTCACTTCCAGGGAAGAAATGGTGAATGGATGTCCTTGAACAGAGGAAACAACATTATGGCTGAATTAGCATCTGGATGCTGGATCTGAGTTACTGAGATATCTCTGGAGAAGGAGAGATTATGAGATTGCCCATACGTATTCTCAACAGTTACAAGTAGATGGCAGGAACCAATGTTTCTGGGGTTGCTTAGGTGTCATGCAACTGAAAGTCAAGGAATTTCAGGAGGCTCACAAGCATAATGTAGCCTCTAAAGACTTTACTTTTGACCAATTCTCATCTCTTTATTCCTTTTGGAATTAGTTGTTGTTGTTGTTGTTTTTTACAATTTTTAATATATTGAGAACCCTTGAAATTATGATACTCACTGGGTGAGTCTCCCTCAATCTGTACCGAAAAGATTTATAAATACCAAGTTAAAGACTCAGAAAAAATCTTTTTGGACTAAACAACAAAAGATTGAGTGTTGATTTTGAGAAGCTTTAAATGAGTAAGGGTAGATAGATGTGAAATAAGACTTTAAAATTAATTCTATGAATCCTTTCTGTGAAGAACTGATGTTTTTAAATTTTAAAAAATAGAAGCATAACAAGATAAGACTTGAATGCTTGGGCACGAGAGATATTCAGAAGGAATTAAATATTGCATTTAAAGGCGAAACAAATTAGCAAAATATTTCAACATCAAATCCATTTAAATGGTATTTGGGAACAATGGACTCAGAAATTATTTTTAAAAATATTTGCTATCATTGATAAAATGAATATAAATCATATTGTGATATAATAGGAGCTCCATTAGATAGATCTGAAATTGATTTAAATGTAGATTTGGAAATGCTAAGTTACAAGAATGATATGAAAGGAGACAAAATACTGGATATACAAATAAAATTGACTGAGGCTTCAATATTTAAAGGGGACATATGTGTAACAAACCAAAAGAGCAATATAGACAGTTTTCCTATACTGGATGTACAAAAGAGCCCTAATCAAACTTGGAAGAATTTTGTGACAAAAACAAAGCAAAAATGAAAAGAAATCAAGCTTTATCACTTAAACTTTTCAATTTTTTAAAGAAGAGACAAAGAAAATAAAAACTAAAAGGGGATTAAAAACTAAAATTGTAAAGTGTGTGTATGTATGTATGTATGTATAAAATAAGGATAAGGAATACAAAGTTGGTTTATTTAATCAAGGTAAAATAAATGTCTTCTTGTCTGTGACTACCATTATTGGATTTTTACAGATTAGGACTGAATGACAATGTTTTAAGGTATTGTTTCTAGAAGAGATGAGATATGGAAAAAGAGTTTATTTTATATTTTAATTCTATTTGACTAATGTGTTTTTGTTTAATGAATTTATTGACTGTTTTAATTATGAGGTTTGGGAGATTTTTTTTTAATAGATAAAGAATGAGATGTAGAAAAATATATCATAAAGTGGGTTCTGGGATTAAATTTAAAATAGTTGTGTTATTTCTGGTATCCCTTAATGAACTTTTGCTGATTATAATACAATGACAAGGTTTTAAGAGTTGTTTATAAACAAGGAGATGAGATACAGGATGAAGGGATGTTTTATCTTTTAAAAGAAGAAGATGAGTTGTCAAAACAAACATTTATACTTGCTGTGACAAGCGGAAAGTTATTTATATATTTTTTTCTTTCCCCCCGAACTTTATACCTTTTGTTCTTAACTTTTTGAATTTTCTATTAATTTTCATTGATTTATTTGTAACTTTTAATAAAATTATTATTTAAAAAGATAGTGCAAAGAACCATTTACAGAAGAACTTAATTTTGTGGATTGTAGCTGTATTATTCAAAAACACAGTTTAAGATTACTTCTTAATCAGCCAGCTTCTATTTCCCAAATACAATTATAATTATTAATTTTCCCACATTTTTGGTATAGAAATGCAAAGTAGAAACTTTGACTAACAGCAAAATAGCTTAGATAAGCCACAAAACAATTCTGTCATCTCATATTGCATAAATAGCATTGCATTGTTAATCCCTTCCCATCTTGTCCAATTCAGACAAGAACTGAAGAATATAAGGAAATAACACAAAATATGTTGTAATGATATATCCATATACTCTCTAACAATGAGGAAACACATGCCAATTTTAAAAGAAGGGAAAAATGTGAAAGCAATCCTACAAAGAGTTTAGTGACACAAACAGGTGATACAAGGCAATATTCTGCAAATGTAAATTGCTACAGTTCTCAGATGACAATTTATGACCATGTGTAAGTATGAACATGCAACATATTTATCTGGATCTCCGATCCGTCATTTTGTAATAACCAACACAATCCTTATTTGAAATAAATATTCTGGAACATAACTGCCAATAATTGTATAAGCACATGCAAGATGACAATGAACAGTGCACGCTCATTCAAGCATAAACATAAACAGGCCAGTAGCAATAGATACCTTGCTCCTTTGCAATAGAATTTATTCTTTAAGTCTAAGTATTACAGGTCTCTGTCCTTGTTATAAGATTTCTTGGAAAATGAATTTGTTTCATTAAAAAAACTATAAATAGTTTAAAAGCAAGCAGAGGACAATCTTAAGATTCTGGTTAAAAGTGATATATTTTGATAATTGTATAATAAGGTCAGAGTGCTTGACATTGATGAAAGAATGGATATGTTTCTTCATGCATGCCTTCATCCTTCCATCTGAAGAAGCAGCACAGAACAGCAGAAAGCTCGGAATGGGATGCATCCTCAAATGCAGGACATGGAGACTGAGATTCATCTCACCTGGACTTGTGTGAAAGGTTTCACTTGAGAAGACAGACTCATTGCCTTTGAGAAAAACCCGCACTATATACTTCTCACCAGGAATCAGATCACTCAGCTCCAGAAAACCTTTAGCAGGGGAAGATTTCACTGTTTTGTTACCTGGGAAACAGAAATCTCATATCAAAGGTAGCTAAAAAGAAAAGAAGAGATTATTGTGTGGTCAAGCATCATGTTGGGTTACGATGATAATCACTGGCTGAATAACATAGCAAGATGAATATCCAGAGTTTGAGACCCCACCCAATTCAAAGTTCAAGAGTTTGTTTGCAAGAGTTTTATAAACCAGCTTACACCACTGGCAGAATCGATTTTCTACACACCTTTTCAGTAATCTAAGCACCAGCTTCAGCATCAATCAATTATAATCAGATGGAAGATTCTTACACAAATGGTTCTGTGATTGCAACGAAATTCAGAAATACAAACCAAAATGAAAAAAAACCAAAACCTCTATCTGGAAAAAGGAGTCTATTTTCACACAGATTCTGAGAAATTTCTAATTTGGATAGGAAGGAATTGCCATAGTTTCTGCCACTTCCAAGTATTAAATAATATTCACAAACCTTCCTCTGAGAATACTTTCATAGTGGCTTGATGTGTTGTTTTTAAATTTATTTACAATTTTGAAAGGTTAAGGGGAAATATAATGTATCTACCATACAGAGGAATTAGAATATGAAATCCATGTCCAAATTGTTAGACGTGGATCTGTAAGTGCTTAATTCCATGAAAACTTGGGCTTATAAAGACTGGATTAGATACTGTATATGTATAAATGTAAATCATCATTATGACTGCAGTTCTTAAAGTGTTTCTGAGCAGAAAATCTCCATGTATATTTATAACTGCAGTACAAATTACAAAGTATTCCAAAGAAAGGAGGATAGCCTTTCCTTTGGCCCTATAGTAATAGACTAAATGGTATGCACAGAGATATTTCAAACTATGCACAAGGCATTGCACAAATCTCATCAAATATTGTATAGTCAGTCATGTTCGCTGCAGTTATTATGGTTATATATTCAGTAAATTCTATGGATAACAATTTATTTTAACCACTACCACAATGTGGTTTGCCCATGAGCCTAAAGTCATCAACAAATACAGAATCATAAAAATTAATTGAAATAAAACTCTACGAGAAAATAGTGACCTACAGCCCATTAAGTATTCTGCAACATTCCCATGAGCCCAATGCTTACTGTTGCTATACTCAACCACAAATTCAGTGTCAGCATCAAATGTGTGGTTCCAGGTGATGTTTGCCCAGTTATTGTTAGATGAAATTTTTACATTCCAGATGGGCGGCAGCTTTCCAACACCAGCTGGTGAACAGGTTAGAACAGAAGTTAGTAAACTAGATAATGTAGAAACAATGTGTTCCAATTTAAGTGAAGGTTCTGGATTCATCAGCAATTTCTCACATAGGTAACATGTGAAAAAAAATTGTCTGTCACTTCTTTGATCCTTTGTCTATTGCCTACAGACTAGTAGTTTGGAAATGGTGTTTCATTAAAGTAATATAGTCACACTCAAGAAAGAACATGCTTTGCTCTAGTACAGGACACCAATAACAGGTCTCTTCCTTACAATGTAATGCAGACAATAATATTATTCATCCCTGCTTACCAGGGATCTTTTTAACTTTCATAGGAGGTTTGCTTTGTGCAATTCCATTTTCAATTTCAGTCACATATCTTTGCTCCAGGTTTGCCTCTTTCTTTTATCTGTCCTGAGAACACAATAAAACCAAATATTGTGCATGTCCCAATGACCCATATTTTAGGAATTCAGTGCTAATTCATTGTTTGTTTGATTTATAGTAAACTAAATCTGTAAGCTATTTTTGCTACCTTCTGCTGGCTTCTACAGCTACTCCAAAGTAGGACAGATGTGCTTATGTAATTAAGTTCCCAAGCTGAGGGTATTTATGGGGCAATCCTTTTTCAGAAACAAAAGTCCTAGGGCTGTTTTTTTGGGAGGGGGAGAGAGAGAGAGAGAGACTCCCCTTTTTTGATAAGCACAGAACAGAACTATGTGAGAAACTACTATGCGAATGAGCCTTAATTTACTTAACTATTGAGGAAGGATCTCAAACAATTTAGCAATTTAACACTTATCACAAGAGACTGAGACTCTTAGTGCATTTATTATTTTAAAAGCATTGTTTGCACTTGGAAACCTAGATAAAACTTTGACAGTGAAGCACTAACTTCTAATGAAAGATAACTTGTACTCTGCATGCTAGAATTCTTTTCAAATAAATGGACTGCTGATGCTGAACACTTTAATGGCTTGGCAGTAGCAGTTCCTGATAGTGTGTTTTAAGTAGATTTATGAAACACACATATATTCTGCTTCAACACTGCATCAAACCAAAGAAAAGTTCAGTGTATTTTAAAATATACCAGCTCTCTGATTTAATGATTTAGAGAGAAAACTTTTTTGTTAATATGCTGGAGAGGATGCATTGATAATCCGTTGTCCTTTGTTGATTTTATGATAAGTTTAGCTGGCTTGGCAATTTTAGCTCAGAAACATAGGCTGTTACTTTAGGCTGCTTTTCTATCAGTATTTACCTGGATGATGTTAATATAAATATGAATTCGGTGAGATTTATTTCTGGATAGATATGCATATGTTTATAAGCTTTTTGTATAAAGAGAATGATTACAATCCCCCCTTTTTTAATAGCAGCACATTTTTAAACAGTAAATGCAGCCACTATCTAATGTCACTTAGAGCATTTTCATGTCAACTATATTTTTTAATCTTCACGATAATATATTTCTGTTCCCAATAAATCTTCCATTTTGAAATGTCTATACACTGCTACCTTGTTCTAGTCATTACCACCACATAGTCATTCATATAATATACAGATGAAGGTTATAATTTTATTATTTTTGTAAGCCACCTTGAGTTGCCGTGAGTAGGTGGCATTATAATTTTTTAAAAATAAATAAATAAATGTTACTTTGTAAATGAGGAACAGTAAAACAGTAATATAGTTGCACAGAGATCCACTCCAAACCATCCTGACTGAAGTTGCTCAATTATTAACTGTTCCTTGAAGAGATGTCAATAATTGGGATATTTCAGTCTGAGATGATCCTTGGTATAATATGCTGTATTGCAAATAAAAAATCATTTTGGTATTCTATCCATTGTAACTATGCATAATCTATTAGAATGCAAATGAACAGAGTCTGGCTTTGTGTGATATCTATAAAGGACATCTCTGAAAAGGAGAATCCAGATTGTCTATGGCAGGCTAAGAAGTAATGCTGGAGACGCAAAGTTTTATAGAAATAGCTCCAAGATTATTCTGGATGGTCTTTTTAGCATTTGGGATCATTGTGAATCCTTAAAAACATAATCCAATGATCAATATGCTGCCGAAAAAAAAAATACTATGCTTAGAGAAAAATCCTGGTTCTGCTTGATTTAGAAATCATCTACGTTTTGATGTTAACCTGGTATATTAGGCTTAAAGTATATGAAAGACCATGAAAGGGTTTAGGCAGGTAACATAAATGGAAGAGGAAAACACAGAAGCTCAGCCCAGTATTTGATACCTATTGTACTAGCAACAAGTGTGGTGATGATTGCTGGCTCTGTAGTGGTTGTGGCTTCTGTGGTGGTGGTTACAGCTTCTGTGGTGGTAGTGGGAGTAACTTCTGTGGTGGTGGTTACAACTTCGGTAATGGTGGTTGGGACAGTAGTTTCTGAAATGGTGGTTGCAGCCACAGTTGGAACATCTGTAGTTTGGTGAATGGTTGGAGAGATTAAAACTAGGAGAGGGAAGTGCAAAAAATTGCTTTTAAAAGATACTATGATTTCAATTCTCTGGCTTTGACAATTATTTGTTGAAGCTAAACATGCAGGCAAAATGGATCAAGACACTTGTTCACACATACCTACTGCCAAATGTAAACAGCATATAATTCTTCTATTCCCCCCCCCCAAAAAAGAGAAACAAAGCTTGAATTTCATTCTTTCCTTGGCAGTCTTACAGTAAGATTTCTCCATCTCAGTAAGACAGGATGGACAGTTATGGGAGATGCTTGGAGAGTCTCAGATAGAGGGGCATGCAGAAAATACTGAGGACAAGCAGAGGGCAAACATGCAGACCCCAAACATATAAATTCTCATAAACAAGGTGTTTATTTAAAATGTTCTATTCATTGATTCAACAGATTGCTCTGTTCGTGGCCTTGAGAGCTTAACAGCACTCCAATCTCTGAGGGCAATTAATATAGGCAAATCTGGAATGGAAAGAAAGGAATCACAAGGAGTGTGGAAGGAGCCTTGTCTTAATAAAGCAATATGAGTGAAGCCAATAACACGTTGATTAGCAAACTGAAATAGCGAGAAACTCTAATGAAACAAAACAATGCAGAACAAGACACTGTCAGTGATGAGAAATTCTAACTTTGTCTTATCACTTTAAGGAAATGAAGGTGTGTGTTATTGAACCTTTAAGTGGTCCTGCTAAAACAAAAACAAAAATTCCCTTTTGCAATAAAACCGCCAGTTACTGCAAATACTGAAGTGGAAACATATTTATCTTTTTACATTCTTAATTAATTAGGATGATTCTTTTAAAAATATGCTAGGGATATTTTTTGGATTGTTTTAAGCCTAACAGAAATATTTTGATATTAGTAATGAAACACAAAAGAATCCATACTATCATAATGGCAAAACATTTTTTTTAAAAAAAATATCATCCTATGTTTGGAAAGAGCAGTCATCTGTGTGTGCATGATTAATGCATTACCCCATGAGACAAAATGCATTAACAGAAATGATGTAAAATAGATTTGCATAAAAACTGCATATGGCAATGCATATGTATAAATGTGAAATTTAAATAATTACTCTATTTATACAGTAATAGTCTATGCATAATGGATGAGAGAGCACAGTCTGCGATTGAGGTGCCTAAAGTTGGTAAGCAATTCTAGATCCTTGCTTTCCCTTTTTAAAGACACTTATTTTCCCTTCTTCTATTTCCCTTTGAAATTTAGATAGTTCTGTAATTAAGGGATATTAATTAAAGAACAATCATCTGAATGTCAATCAAAGAAAGGATTACATAAATAAACCCATTCTTAAGTTGTTCTGGACTCTGAGAATCTTATTTTTTATAATCTGCTTATAAATAAAGAGTTTAGTTAGATCTTGTTGCCAACTGCAAAGCTGAATGCATAGCCACCTCAGAGGTTTCTGGAGAATATTTTTTTTTTTAATTCTGCTGTAGAAATATCTGAAAAGCATATTCTTCAAGTGGACACTATGATGTACAAAATTAAATGCATGAGTTCATTTACCTCCTGTCTGGAGTTGGTAAAAATGAAGCTGTCAAAGAGGCAGATCACAAAGAAAAGAGGAAAGATAGTTATGTCTACCAGTGCCAAGGATTTCTGACAAGATTCAACACAGTCTATTACTCAGCCAAGATATATTATGGGTAATAAAAGCAAAATAACAAGAAAATGTAGTTCTCTTAAAATATGCCATGGTAAACCCATTCTTTTCTATTGATGGAACAAAGAAAGAACAGGTCATAAAAGTGAGAACTCCAATACAGAGTTCCCCAAAACCACATAACCAAGTTTTGCAATACTGTTAATAGAGGCACCAGTTAAGTATTTGTTTTTCTACTCATCCCCAAAATACTTTTGGAAGCTAATGTATATTGTCACAGTCAAAGAAGGGATAGGACATACAATAGGGAAGACAGGTGAAAATAGTGAGAGAATTTGGAGAAACTGCCTTCTGTTTTACAGATGTGTTTATGAAGTTTTAGTAGAACTGGGTTTCAATTAGTAGTATGCTTTATTCTTATGATGTGGAGCATTAGTTTATGCTTCAAGGACTAAGAAGTTGTGAAGAAATGAAAGATGTCACAATTTTGCTACATCTTTTTCAGACCTCTGGGTGTTGCAATTTATTTTGCAGGAAGTATTTTGTGCTAAATGGCCCATTGGTAGGATAAATCTTAGTCCATTAAAGTGGTAGAAATTGGCCCTAAGCAGCCAAGTCTCAATTAAATAGGCAATTCGTTTTAGAAACTCTTTAAGAAAACAGGGTTTGATCCAATTTGTTATGGACCAAGCACAGCAAAATTAAATTAACCCAAGATACCTTGAACTGTAGAACTATATAATTTTATTGTTGATAAGCTTAGTCCCAGCAGTGGAAAGGGTGCTGTGAATCTTTTTCCTAAGTATTAGAGTAAGCATAATACAAAGATTTTTCATACTTTGCAAATTATTTTATACTTCTAAATTTAGTTCATGTGAAATTTCCATGTCTTTGTTTGCTTAAAAATAATTAAACTGAATTATTCCATTCCTGTGTACACTAATATGAAAAGGATTATACTTTTTATTATTATAAACACAAGAAAAGGCACAGCTTGTTTTAGATATAATTAAAATGTCAATATGAGAATTCCACACCATTGTGTTAGTGCTCTTTCCTTATGCATATTTAAAACTATGGCAACATGAATGAAGAATAACATTTAAAGTTGGAGTTTTGCTTCCAGTCTACTCAAATGAGAAGCTGAATCCTGAAGGGTATGAATGAGGAGCAAAACTATGCTTTTGGCTAATAAGATTGTAAAGAAGTCCTTTTTAGTCAGCAACTGGTGAAAATAAATCAGCCTGAGCTAAATAAAATACTAAGAATACAATATAAAAACATGTACCCCTGGGTGTGAATATTCTTGATAATTTGGCTCTACTGCTTTTTGAATAATGATGGAAGAGAATATTTGTAGCTGAGAGTTGAAATGTGGAATCTTGGTGCTCTCTGAGTTTAGCTCTTTTCCTGCAGACATTTAATTACCAAACTAGGGAACAACATCAGTCTTAGCATGGCCTTTTGAAAAGAATACCCATGGATATCTATGATTATTTGAAAACAATTGGGCTTCTTCCTCCCAAACTTTTTGATTTTTTAAAATGACAATTTAATATTTAAAAAAGCTTTCCTAACTTGATACCTTTAGAAATTTTGGAGTTCAACAAAATCTCCAACCCACACGAGCATCTCTCACACACCTGGAGGACACTGGAGTCAGGAAAGCTGATGTATTTAATTAATCCTCCTGGTGATCTATAGTAATGTGATATCATGGGATTCTGTTAGCTTACCCCAAAATCATACAATTAAATGTATGATTAAAATTAAAATTTCCAACTTCAAAATAAAAACAAGAAACTCTGAAGTCTCAGTTAAAGATTTATTTGCCATCTTAAAACTCTATTCAATGTTGAAAAAATCTTGGTCTGATCGAGCAGATTCTGTCCTTGAACTAAATCTAATAGACTTTTTCCCCTTCCATTTTGTGTCCAAAGATATACCCGAAGAATATGAAGGCAGTTACTTTTACTATCTGAAAGGGAATAAATGCTAACATGCAAACTATTGGAAGAGTTCAGCTGAAATCAGTATCTGTGCACCTTTTGGACTTTTATAGACCGCTGTATAGCCTTGAGCTATTTTGCTTCCAGATTGTTGGTATTACAAGAATTATTTCACAAATTCAATTCCCACTTTCAGTTTAATAAAGAGAAAAAAACCTCTCATTTTCAATCCTTTGGTATAATTTTAATTGTCAACTGAAGATCTTTTATGTAAGATAAACTATTTCATTTCTTCAAAGTTCAATACAGGTTCTATTCCAAATGTGAGTTGCAGATAACACAAGCAACCAAATTTTAAGATGTTCTTTTACATCAATTGTGATGTAATTAGTCAAGTTGTCTTCACAAGCTATAATAAAGCTAATGTGTTTGTATTTAGCTTTTTTCCCCCTTGATTCTTTTACCAGCTAGCTTTTGATTTCTTCAGATTCCACAAAAATCATTCTTACACAGAGAATGGTTGAGATGAGCAGGAAAAGAGGAAGAGATGCATGCAGAAAGAAAAAATGGTTGCAGAATTAAACTGAAAAAGTACATATTCTCTTGAGTTATTATGACAAATGAGACTTTGGGTGACTTAAAGGCATTTGACATAATCCTAAAAGCCAGTTGGACTGCAAATGGTTCCCTACCACTGAAGAACCAAAAAGTACCTTATGCCTTTGAAGTGAGCAAAAAACAGGTTCATAAAAGTGAAGTTAGATGAAAGACCATAACAAAGATGAACACTACATTGTAAGTGAAAAAAGGGTAAAAACTGCTGTGGATCTTACAACAGGATAAAATTACAACAGGATGAAAATTTTCTCAGATCCTCAATCTGATATATATACTGGATTATTTCTCCAATAATCTCTAGCCTAGCAGCCCCCAAGCTTTTGGGCACCAGGAACTGGTTCATAGAGAGAGGATTTTCCATGGAGCGGAGGGGGCATGGTTTCATGTGCTGCCTGCATTCTGTTTTGCTTGTTTGCATGGCCCAGTTTCTGGAATGCCACGGACTGGTACTGGTCCATGGACTAGGGGTTGGGGACCTTTGCTCTAACTCAGGGGTGTCAAACTGGCAGTCCGCAGGCCAGATGCATCATGCACAGGCCACGCCCACTCCAGCTCCGCGAAGGGGGAAATGTTGCAATATGTCACCTGATGGCAAAAGCCAATACATGACTTCAAATGGGAGCAGTAATCCAACATATCTGGAAAGCATATTAGAACGAGAAAGGGTGAGTTTTGTTTCTCTAATAAAATGTGTTGTGCAAAATTTCAAGGGTGAAAATGCAACTATCAATTGTGATTTTGTGTCACATTGGGCATAAAAATGGTCATCAAAATGTGCATTTATTTGAGGTCTT